TGACATCCTCAGACACCACCTTTTGTGACACTTATGCCCATAAGATCTGAAAAGGAGGTCACTGGAGGAGAAGGTGGGGGTGCCAAAGCCATCCAGAACAGGGAATTAATGAAACAACTGCTCCACAAGTGATTTGAGCCCTCTTCTCCAACTATAAATACAGAATAGAGGAAGCTGCTTTCAATTTAGACCACAAGATACATTTAGTATCCCCAGCAGTGCTTTTTTTTCCCTAAGCACTCTGTCCTCCATTTACTGTGGAATTTAAGGATGGAAATATGATAGACTGAATGGAGCAGGCAAACAGAAGCATCCCCAGCCTGCCAACTTGGAACGACCACAAAATATTTTAAAATGCAATCCCAGCCTTAAATGTATGTGACCCCACGAATTTGGCCACTCTAAACCTCTTCTCTCAGTTACAACAGAAGGAAAGTAGAAGATACAAATAATCACCACGGCTGGAAAGTAACTTAAGGGGCTGCAAGGGGGACTTAAACAGCCAAGCACTTAAAGGAAGTGGTGCAAGGACTTCCAGTGCCTCCCAGTCAATTAACTGCAAAATCTGAAGGGCAAATGCTTGCTTGCAATACAAAACCAGCAACACTCTGAGCATTAGGAATTGGGAAGTAAAATCTTGGCAAAAGGAACTTCAAAATAGAAACAGAAGGAAAAGATATTTAGGAAATAAAACAGGAATGTGCTTACAGCAGATGGAAAATGTTCCAAATGATGAGAAAAAAAAGCCTTTTTCAGTGCTATTTTAGAAATCCTCTTACATCCCCCCACCCCATTATGGGGGAAAACATGATCTGAGCTAAATTCACTCTCAATGACGTACTAATTATAACGGTTATGATAATAAATTTAATTTGTAATTTCCAACCATTTCTGTTGTCAGCCCTTCAACATGCATTTTTAGCCCAATTAAAAATAAAATCATTATCCTTCCCCTACAGGATATCCAAGCTGCAGGCCAGTTTAGTTAACTTGCCTATAATTATACTGCTTCTGCAGAGCCAGAAATAGGGTTGATAAGCCCTGATTCCCAGGCTCACACTTCAGCTAGACACCCCTACCTATCTTTAAGACCAAACCAGAGCAGAGCTGAGTAATTCCAAGCCCTCACAGGGCATTTTACATTCTTGAAGAATTGCACAAATAGCAAGCAATTAGTTCCAAACAAGGTCCCTGAGGAGTTTATAGTTAAGATACATGTGGTTTAATATACATTAAGTCAAGAATTATAGATTAAAATAATCACTGAATTCAGACAATGTCTGGAGAGTTCTGGGCTGTGGGTGAGAGGGGCAGTGGTTCTATATA